TTTACTCATTTAATGGACATTTTCACATGCATTGATCCTTGCACTTTTCTGAAATCTTTTACGTGTGTGTTCTTATGAAATTTTCAAAAGTTGCTTTTAGATACTTTTTGGAATAAAAGTATTTTTTATACAAAAACTATATAGCATATAGAGAGATTTTAGATTCTATATATTATTTTTGTAATACACACATACCACAATTAGAGATAAAATGTTTTTAAAAAATGAGAGAGAGAAAAAGAAAAATGAACTAAGCAGGGATCTCTTAAGGGAGCAGGACCCAGAAAATATAAATTACTAACATCAAATAATCTTTCCATATGTATATTTAATTAATATTTTTATTTATAGTGATTCCTCCAAATTATTAACTGAATGAAAAGTTCAAAACACATAAAAATTCCAGCGGGGTCTAAACAAAATCTTCTATGACCCATTACACCTTGTTTTAGTCCATAAACTCTTCGGTTAACAATCCTTATAGTCCTTATCATTATCTAACTCAACATTTATTTCAGTTCAATATAAGTCTTAAATTAAACTGCCTTCAGTTTGCCATCCTACTCTCAAAGGAAATAGCACTAATAGGACCCACTATTCAAAAAGGCCTCATTTGGAATATTTTGGCCCTCTCCTACTAAAAGGCAGCACTTACTGCTACTTCCTCGAGCCTGTTGTGTTCCAGGGAAAAGCTCTTGTTTCCTTTTCCTGGCATTACATCTAAGTCATCTCTGAACGACCCAGTCTGAATCTAAAATTCTCGTTGTCTCTATATTGCAGCCCCCAAAACTGGACCTCATCTTTCTCCCCTGAGTAAGGTTATCCTTGCTGCTCGGTATCAGATAAAACTGGACCGGGTTCACCATGCACAATGTGAAAACGCTTTCTAATTGCCAGTGACCCTTCCCCGCACCCAGTGTTGGCTTTTATTGCTTCTCATTTATCATCTTCCCACTCTCTTGTCCCATCCTGAATTCACTTTCAATCCTGCTCCCATGACAGTGCCAGCGAGGGGTGAGGTGGATGTGTTGCTGACATACACCAAGGTCTGTTTGACTTCTCACACTCAGTGTTTGCCTGGTGACCTTCAGATCAGAATGAGCATCTAATTCTAAATATGTGCTTATAAAGGCAGTCCATGCAGTGATCCACACAATTCCCTGTAGTGTTTTGTTAATGAATGAATCATTCTATTTATTTGTCCTCACCCTGATCCAAAATTACACATGGCTAATGCTTCTAGGTTAACCCAGAGCAATAATACAATGCGCCTCTATTCTGAACCTAGGAAAAACAAACCGGTTCATAATTAACTGGTGACTTACTTGTAGTTTACTAAGACATATCCTTTGTTTGTATAATAAATGCTAAAGTTCTAATATATGGATCAGTTCAAGAAAATTTTGATTTTTGTGAGGAAATAAAAAATAAAAAGGAAACAATTGTGAAGTGAAACCCATTGTCGTTGTACACACACAATGACTTGGATGACAGAGAGTCTCTGTTCAGGCAAACAAAATATTAAATGTAACTTCTAAGAGCCAAAAAAAACCCTCAAATTCCTGACTAACAAACATTATTTTGCTAATATAATGGGAATATAGTTTTTTCCCTCTCATCTTTGTGTCCTTACAATTGGGATGTACATGAACAATTCAATCCCCAGGCAATACTGAATTGGAATCTCTGGAAACTAGCTTCTGGGGAAAGTGCCATTTCAACAAACTTCGCAGGTGATTCTTTTGCACACTAAAATTTGAGAACGACTATTTCATGAAAGTTTTTCTGTCTCTCAAGCTGATAAAGATAGCTGTCTCTATCTCAGATCTCTGGCAAGTTGCTCTCTTTGAATAGCTGTAATAAATGCTGTATCCAGGTTTTTGTGTCACTGTAGCTTATTCAATTTGGAGAAACTTCTTTAACAAAAATAATACAAAATTATGAATACAAAATCAATTTTAAAATTAAATATTTATTTAGAATAAGAGAAGAAATCACAATAAACTAACAAATAATAAAATAATAGAGTTTTAAGTTCTTTTCTTCCGAGATCTCTTTAAGTGATTTACCAGAAGGCTTACATAGAAATGCTTCCCATTTATATCCTGTCTTCTCTTCCCTAACTTGAAAACTCTATAACTCCCAGAAACTTCAACACTTACCCGAGTCCGTAAGAAGGAGAAGCTCCAACCATAAGCTTATTGGCTTCATCCTAAATCTACCTGAAAATTCAATACGAGGATACTTCAAAAAGTCCGTGGAAAGTAGAATTAAAAGACAATACGAGGGCCGGCCTGGTGGTGCACTGCTACAGTGCGCCGCTTGGGAAGCGTGGTGGCGCTCCCGCAGAGGGTTCGGATCCCGCCTACGGACCGGTTCCCGCTCACTGGCTGAGCGAGGTGCGGGCGCAACGCCGAGGGTTGCGATCCCGTTGCTGGTCCCGGTCCGGTACGGGCGCGACACTGAGGGTTGCGATCCGTTGCCGGACACGAAAAAAGAGACAAAAAGGAAAAAAAAAAAAAAGACAATACGAATCTTTCTATGCACTTTTTGTAGGCCTCTCATATAAGCCATTCACCTGCAAGTCATTCACACCCATGGCAAACAAGATTACTAGTATTAAAGTGGTCATCCTGAGCCATAATCCTATGGTTTTGATTGGTCTCTTTTTCTCTCTACCTAGGACTTTACAATGACTTTTTATCTCAGGCACTACTGGAAAGACGAGAGGCTCTCCTTTCCTAGCACAACAAACAAAAGCATGACGTTTGATCACAGACTGATCAAAAAGATTTGGATGCCTGATATCTTTTTTGTCCATTCTAAGAGATCCTTCATCCATGATACAACCATGGAGAACATCATGCTGCGAGTACACCCCGATGGAAACGTCCTCCTCAGTGTCAGGTAAGGAGCCCGTCTATCACCTTTGGCTTCCTTGGACTGCAGCCATATCCACCAAAGTTGGTGGGGGTCTCACGTCAGAGTAAGCTCACAACATTGCTGTCTGTTTAATGATGCCAGAGATAGGACACAAACAAAAGACGTGATTTTCCCTGGTTCTAACATCCAGATTTTAAAGAACAGTTTCCTATTCTTACTATACCCACCCTGGGTATATGTTGGTTGCATAAATAGATTGGAGATGAGTGTGGAAATTCTTAAAAGCCTAGCACACAATTTTATAGGTATGCAAATCTGCTTTTCCTTCTCACCAGTTCCACCCAACTCCTGCACCTCACCAAGCAGTTTTGGAATCTTAGATTAGCTAAATAATTTTCTTAACTATCTACTTCATTTTTTCACAGGAAGGCATAATCATCATCCAAATCACCGGTAATTTACTCACTTTCTTTTTCTTTTTTTTAAATTTAAAATATTAGTTCTGACACTATGCTGTAATGGCCTTCCATCTTTTTTTTTTTTTTTTTTTTTTTTTTTCTTTTTT